GAGCACACACTTTCGAAAACAAGGACCTGTTATCTTGCCCCTAGGACCAAGAAAAGCCCAGACTGCCCCATCCTAAAACTCCATGAGGGCTCTTGGGAAGAGAAGGGAAGAAAGACCTCTGTTGTTTTATAATGAACCTACAGCCTAGAAAACAGGCCAGTTTATTCTCAATGTATTCTGCCACATTAAAATTTTAATAAGTCATCCTATTACATTTATGATAGTGAACATCTGGAAAAACCTTAAATGTTCTACTGAAGGGAGTATATGTTGAAATAATTTACAGCAATTAAAGGGCTCCAAAGGGCTCCATTTCCTTAAATGTTCTACTGAAGGGAGTATATGTTGAAATAATTTACAGCAATTAAAGGGCTCCATTTAAAAAAAAAAAACTATTTCAGTGATTTGGAAACATACTCTTGGTACACCCATTAAAAAATACAGGTTACAAAGCAGGGTATGCAATTGAAGATAATCTAAGAATGTATTAACACACACACACACACACACACACACACACACAACTGTATCACAGACAATCAGTGCTTGTCTCAAGAGTAGTGGGATTATGGTTGAGGTTTATTTTCTTTTTTATGCTTCTGTGAATTTTCCTAATTTCTTCATATACTTGTATTTTTTTGTAATAACACTCTATGGCAGTGTACAATTATGCATGTGTGTGTGTGTGTGTGTGTGTGTGTGGCACTGGCCCTTTTTCTGGAGTAGTTAACTCGCTTAAGGGAAGTAGTTAGTGATCCATCTCAATGGACTTATTAGATATAACATTTCAAGAGAAACAAAAACATATGTCCACATAAAAATGTGAACTCAAATGTTCATAGCAATTTATTGATAATAGTTCATAACTTTAAACAATCCAAATACCCATCGAGAGGTAAAAGGATAAAAAAATTTTGGTATATGCATACATAAAAGAAATGAATTCTTTTTTTTTTTTTTGTCTTTTTGTCTTTTTTCGTGACCGGCAACGGATCGCAACCCTCAGTGTCGCGCCCGTACCGGACCGGGACCGGGACCGGCAACGGGATCGCAACCCTCGGTGCTGCGCCCACCCCTCGCTCAGCCAGTGAGCGGCCGGTCTGCATGTGGGATCCGAACCCTCGGCGGGAGCGTCACCGCGCTCCCAAGCGGAGCACTGTAGCAGTGCACCACCGGGCCAGCCCGTGGACTTATTGGTTGAGAATAAAACATTAACTTGTGAAGGGAATAAAATAACAATGCGGAAAGAACAATACAAAATACAGGCAGTATAAGACAAAAACTTAAATATTTATCAGGATAATAGTACTGTAGTGTTTTTTTTTAAGCTTTTGTTGTTTTTCCTTTAGAGATGTGATAAATGATACAAATATATATGTTTTATTTCTGCCAAAATCAGCTCTTGGGCAATGTGCAATTTTTAGAAATAGGCCTGATGTTTAAATAGGCTTGTGTCAGATGGTGGATCTTTTACTAATTAACTGCATGATTGAGAACAAGTCGATAGATTCTCTGGACCTTAATTTCTTCATCGTTTATTTTTACTTTGTTATTTAGCAAATGCTTCCATAGCACTAACAACATGCCCGACACTCTAAGTTTTGCAAATATCAACTAAGTTAATCCTTATTCCTACCCTATGAGGAAGGTGTATTATCCCTACGTTATGTATGAGGAAACTCAGGAAAAAAAAGAGGGGTTAAAAATTCACCCAAGGTCACATTGATAGTAAGCAACAAAATCAGGATTCAAATCCCAGCTGTCTGGCTCCAGGCTCCATTATATTAGCTCCTGGGTTATGTTATGCTGGACTAAATGACATTTACATGCCAATAATTTATGTGTGTAAAACACCCGACATCCCAGCACATTATTTCTCTGTACTTCCTAAATCTCTTTTCTCTTGTTGTCCCCTGAATTTTCTTTTGAAAATCCAATTGAGAAAATTATTAAATTTACTCCAGGCTTTATTTTATGAAATGCTGACTCTCTTCCCATTGGGGATTAATTCCTTAACTTCCCTATTCTCAATTCAGCTTTTCAGTACTGAATACTGAATTAAGTACAGGGGAAGAGAGAGTGTGTCTTTATTTTGGGTCCATATTCTTCAACGTGGCAATCCTAAGCATTGCCTACCCAATTCAGCTGGCTGCTGGCTTTCTGGCTAGATCAAGTTCAAAAACCAGCTTAACTTTTTGATATGCCAGTAGACAGAAAGAAAGAGGAGGAGAAGTATTTTTTCTTGTTAGAACATACGTAAACACAAAATGGAAGTTTCAGATTTTTAGAATTTACTGACTTTTAAAAAATATTAGAACTACAACCCTCAGCTAGAGAATGGGCTTACCAGATTTTAGTGAGTAAACAGCCTTCTTCCCTTTGTACTAACAGTAAAGATTTAACCACCCACTAGTACAAGAAGTACTGACCAGTCAGGTTCTTGGAGAGCTGAGACCTCCAAGGGCTACTTCCCCACAGGCAGAGCCTGTGTGGGCCAAAGTACAAATGGAGACCTGCATACCATATCTCTAAATATTTCAAAAGTACAAATCAAGACAGCACTTTATTAAATAATTTTCCTACTCTTTTACCTTGATGAATCCACCTTCCTAAAACCAGAATGGTATTGAGGATTCTCCCCTGTGTCTGGTGTTCTGTATCAACTTCTAGCCCGAGTCCCCACTCTGCCCACTCCTGCTTTCTTTTGCTTTGGGAAAGCCTGTGGAGACTCCAGCCCACCTGGAGCCCCTCCCCCGTTCACCTCTCAGGTCTAGGGGTGCACACACTGGCAGCACAGTTCATCCTTGGGAGGATGGTCCTGGGGAAGGAGCCTGTGCAGGTGCTGGAGGTGCAGGGAATTCAGAACCCCAGGGCCTGGATACCCAGAGCACACTCTAGAAGGGTGGTGAAGCACAGGCTCTGGGTGGACATGTCCCTTTGACCTACTCACTCCTTGCCCTGTACGGAGGGCCATGATGGGGCAAGCAGAGGGGCAGAGCAGGCCCTGTGGCATATGAAGTCCAGGCCAGCAGCCCCTCTTACTGGGTCTAAGGGCCATATTTCTCTGATATAACCTCAGTCACCAGCTATGTTACCTGGGATGAAAGAGTTAGGAGATACTGTGGTAGAAAATTAATCTTCTGTGACACAGCTCTTTAAGGGAAAGACCTTCTGCCTCCCCCTTTGATAAAATCAAATTTTAGTTATACTTGTACATATTCCACAATTTTTTGATTTTGCAATATTGAATTGTGAAAGACCCTTCCCATGGGGGACACCTGGGGAAAACCTGGAGCAGTCACCTAGAAGAGTTCAATCATTCGGTGGGCTCCATGCTTAGCTGAGAGCTGGGGATATTTTAAGACCTTAAAAAAAAAGCTTTAATGGGAGAACCATGAGGATGAGCCAGTTTGGACACAGGAAGAGAAGGCAGTCTGCTAGGATCTGTTAGGTGACCCTGACTGACGGAGGGACACTGATTCCAGGATGTTGAGATGATGATGATAATGACACTAATACATAGTGAGTGCCAATTAGGAGCAGGTACTGTGCTAAATACAATATATATAATATATAATTACACATAATTTACATGTATTATATAATATATATAACTGTCATTTCACACAGCCACCCTTTGAAGAAGTGAAGCTTAAAGGATTCAGAAACTTGCTTAAAGTTATGTTGCTAGTTAAATTTCAAAAATGAGATTATACTGCAGGTTTGTCTTCTATAGAGACTAAACTCTTAACTAGTCTGTTATATCCCACAGGAAGAGAAGGCAGTCTGCTAGGATCTGTTAGGTGACCCTGACTGACGGAGGGACACTAATTCCAGGATGTTGAGATGATGATGATAATGACACTAATACATAGTGAGTGCCAATTAGGAGCAGGTACTGTGCTAAATACAATATATATAATATATAATTACACATAATTTACATGTATTATATAATATATATAACTGTCATTTCACACAGCCACCCTTTGAAGAAGTGAAGCTTAAAGGATTCAGAAACTTGCTTAAAGTTATGTTGCTAGTTGAATTTCAAAAATGAGATTATACTGCAGGTTTGTCTTCTATAGAGACTAAACTCTTAACTAGTCTGTTATATCCAATTACTGCTTTAGAAAAATAGGCAAATTGGTAGAATTCCAGCCAAAAATAGACCCAGTGTTNATTACTGCTTTAGAAAAATAGGCAAATTGGTAGAATTCCAGCCAAAAATAGACCCAGTGTTAACCATCCAGGGAAAGTTTTAGGCATGTTGAACTGAAAGAAGAAAATAGCCTGAAGGAGAACCATCTAGAAGGTGGACGAAAGCCTGGGGAAGAAAGGTTGGCCCCAGGGCCCAGGGGTAAGGGCATAAAGCCTTGTGGGGGTCCTCGGTGGAAGTGCTGTGGGCCAGTGCTAGTGGCTGGAAGCTGCAGTCTGTGAAACTTTAGCAGATTTTGAATGCAAAGAAAATGTCTCCACTCTTAGGAGCTACACTAACATAAATCTTAGAGAGGCTTGGTATAGGGTTCAGTTAGGAGAGGAATGAATAAATCTCATCCACAAGACTGGATCCAAGGGATGAATTAATGAAGAGGTCTCGAGGGGGCAATCCTCAGCTCATTTGTGTTTTAATTAAGACCAAGAGAAACTAATCCCTTCAAGAGTTCTTGTGATTCTTTAATCCCTCATCTTTGCTTCCTACACCATTTCCGTGAAATTGCATGCAGCAAAATGACTTGAAAAATGAAGAGATTTGTTCCCTTGTTTCTGAGAAAAAAATTTAGGAGTTGGGAGAAAGTGGAAAACAGAAAACCAAATGGGAAAAATGGGAGAGGAAAGGGAAGAGGCAGAGAGAGTCCAAGTAGAATACCTGGTGATTGTTCAAGAGGCCATTGGTTTACTTCTCACGCACCTGCTGGAGAGAGAAAGAAAAGCTCGCCCAAGAACAAGAATTGACCCTGGGAATTACTTATGTATGTCCCAACACCTCCTCCATCCCAGTTACTTCTCACGCACCTGCTGGAGAGAGAAAGAAAAGCTCACCCAAGAACAAGAATTGACCCTGGGAATTACTTATGTATGTCCCAACACCTCCTCCATCCCAGTACTGATGGTGACTTACCAGTGGTCCCTGGGCTTGGTGGGTGAAGGCTGACCTGAGGAATGGGGACTGAAGCTGTGGAAGGCCCATCTATCTCTACCATAATGATTTCCTTTGACCATAAAGGAGGGATCTGTACCTTCCAAGTTAAAGTACAGATTCATGAGGGTTCGCATTCAGGCATTCATCTTGTTAAAGAGATAGTTTATGCCACCTGAGAAACAACAGTGCATTTTTTTTTCAAAATTCTGTCTTCATTATATACAAATTTTACTTAAAGGAAAACACTGTAAACAATGTTGAATTCTAGTTAAACACTTCAGCAAGCATATCCTTAGGGGTGAACTGTACTGATATCTGCAAATTACTTTGAAATGCATCAGAAAATAAGATGGATTGATGAGTGAATAGGGGGTGAATAGTTGAATAGATATTTGATAAAGCAAGTACAGAAAAATGTTATTTATAGCATCTAGGTGGTTTGCATATGGGCGCTCTGTATGTTTGAAAAATTTTATAATAAAGTATCGGAAAACTTACTAGGGAGAAGCACTTTAAAAAGAGTACACAGACACAAGATTATCAACCTTTTTGATCATGCCATTTTAACAAAAGCTCACTGAAAAATGAGAATGCTTTCTTTTATCTTTATCTGTTTCTTTTGTCTCTTCTGCCTTTTTCTCTTTTGCAGACTATTATAGCACAAATATTGGTCCTTGGTAAAGACATGTTTCTTTACTACCCACTTAAAACTTAGGGGGAAATATACTGTGTCATTGTTCTTGTGAAATATGTTAATTTGAGAAATCCAACCGTGATTGTCAACTATGCATATCCTATTTAGTTATATGTGAAATGCATCTACAATTAACAAATGTTCAGTAGAAATTAGTATGTTGTCCGTGAAGAATTTTAGTTTAGTTTACTTTTGTTTTGCTTTTTGATTCAAGCTGGACATTAGTAATGAGATGAAATCTAAAATACACCAATGTCCAGAAATGACTGCAATTATTAAGTGATAAAATGTGCACATTCTATCTGAAAGCACAAGGCATTTCTGTGGATTTTATGGGTGTGTTTCTGGGTGTTTAAATTTCAAATCACTCTTTGTAACTGCAGCTGATGCTTTGGAGAGATTGGGTGTTAGTGGTAAGGAGGAAGGGGACAATGTTTTACCTTTCTCATGCCCACCAAAACAACAACAACAAAAACTACAAAATAGTGTTAAGTCTGAGATATCACCTAAATTAACCTCTACTAGTACATTTTCACAGCTGATTCTTTATTTTCAAATTACCTTCAATTATAAAATTACTGTATAATCTTTTTCACCAATGTTATACTTATGTAGAGCATTATAAATAAGATATATCTATAAATAGTGAAAAAGTTGTCAATAATGGATTAAAAATTATCTAATGAACTTATTTTTAAATATTATGTTCATTCAAGTTCAATTGCTTAAAAAATTTGAAAAGAAAATTTGATTTCAAAGAAAGAGTAAAGTTGAAGATTTTTAAATTACTTAGCAGCTCTGTATGATGAATCTTATCATTTTTACGGCAAAACAAGTGAATTTCCAAATCATCAAGCACTAACACACAACAGTAAATCTTACTCATCTTTTATATAAAAGCTAATATTCTGGCCTTTTCATCCAAAAGAAACAAAACAAAGCCCTCATTTTTCAAGACTATAAAGTATAAATACTTGAAATCATAAAATAAGGTCTAAATTTACTATTTTTATAAAGTGAATGGAATTAGTTTCTAATGAGTCT